CTCCAGCTTCAAATGTTATTTTCCAGCGAACCCAGAAGTCTTTACATGTGATCAAGTAGTTATATGTTAAAGCGAACAGACCACCGGCCTTGCAGTCTTTAGAAGTCCTGTAAAGTACACTCAATTAGCGGAATGTGAAGCACGCGCGTACTTCTAATGCACCTTGGGCTATGCAGTCAGACAGTTATCTAATGATTACTCTCAATGGTTGATTTTGAGTTCCATTTTTGCCCACTATTATATATTTCATTCGATATTGTAGTTTTGCCAGCCATGTGGATGGCGTCTGACACGAAACCGTCAGGCGCCGACTTTTTTTGTGGCGTATCTGACGGATATGCAAGGCAATCGATACTATGCCGCCTGTCTCACCTTCTATGAAGCGGTGACATCAGTCCAGGTCAACGGTCCCAACTCTGCATCTGGAACTCGGGCGGAGCAGGACCCACGATCCCGCGATATATTTCCTACCTCAACTTCTCCTTCCCATTCTCCAAGTATGGGTCCCCGTAACAGTCGAGGCAATCTAGCGCTTTCCATGCACGCTAACACGCCTACCTCTGATGAAATCTCCGATCCCTATTTGATTCGTCCTCCCGACCTGTTTGCACCCAAGTGTCTGGTACTACTCTCGAGGCATCAGCACGTAGAAATTTTGAAGGTGAGTTTTCTAGTCTTGCAGAGGAACACAAAATGCCGATTTTTATTCGACTGTGTTTATCCGCTTCGGCATATGTACTACTGATGTGTTAAAGTAACAAGTATATGTCGCCCCTGTCAACGTTCGCTGCTTGTCCTGAGGACGCGTACTTAAGACTGCGCCGAATAACAACGAACAACTCTGCTGATACAGTAGGTGGGCTAACTCATGAAATCCAATGATTTTTACAAGAAACTCCCTGTTACCTAAACATAGCCGAAGCTGCGGCCTCCTAGAGTATTACAGCAATAAAGTAATAGTCGTTCTTCAAAATAGAGCATATTGCAATTTATCAAGTAATATTACGTTGTTTAAAAATACCAGCTTTTCTTAAGCAAAAGAGAAAATTCTGTCAAAGTGAAAATCGGACGTACTAGGTAAAAATAAGTTTTAAATATAGACGAAGCCTGTTCGTGCAAAAATACCGAGTGAATAAAGCAGCACAAGTAGGAATACTTTGGAAAATAATCTTTTTGTACAATTACGTGCATTGTAATGTATGGCTGTTACCAAACAGCCCAAAGTTTGAGTATGTATTCCAACACGGTTTCACGAGAATTGCTAGTTGTTTCTTTCGTTTACACATTGCTTGAGTTACGTTGGACTGAGGCCCCTACATTTTCGTTTGATTTTGTCGATTGGGCGGTCACACGCATAAGATATATCGTAAGCTCACGTGCGGACATGCCGGTCAGTGACTAATAAATTTAAGTGGAATTGTCACATGTACTCGTA